GCAGGAGACTTAGACCACCATTGCAGTTCTTACGAAACCCATTTCTTTCCGTTTGTTCATTAGTAAATATTAGCTCATGAATGCTGATAAATATCTCTCCTTTTCAGTCATCTGATTCGCTACTTGCAAAATGCCAGTTTACATTGTGGAATTGCAGCAATTCCAACAATGTTATCATCCAAGTGCAAGCAGTCAGTGAATTTTTAGAGGCTGTCTCAGACTGGCCTGTGCATGGGGGAGCCTGCTCTTATCCCCTGCTAATAAATGCTTCATCTTTGCCTGTAATTGTGGCAGAATGGGAATGGTGCTTAGGAGCCTGGCTGTGAGATTACAGCAAATGGCTGCAACCTATGTTTAATGTAGTGACACTAATGAATTCTGAGAATTAATTTTCAGCTAAGAAAGCATGATGGAAGATACTAGAATTTCAAATTAGGTAATGGATTGACTTTCATCAAGGCAAACGTGCAACATTTGTTTCCTTTTCAATCTCTACTTACTTAGCCTTCCCATTATTTTAGATCCAAAAAAAAGCAGACCAAATACGATCGTATTTTTATTGTACCTTACACAAAACCCATCTTGCAGTAGATTTTTGGTCAATGTAAGGCAGTCTCAGTACTTCTTTTTAGTAATTTTCACAGGCCAAGCAAATTGGCTTAATTTGCAGGTGCAGCACATTTGTTGGTTTTGTATGTAGTTGCAGCATGGTTGATAATTTGACAGTGCCTAAGCTAACTGTCAAATTGGTCTTAAACAAATGCTCAGATGAGCACCTGAAGATATTTTAGTTTTCTCAGAAGCAAATCCTTCAGTGATAGAACTTATCAATACTGTTTTTTACATGCACAACACACACACACTGATTTTTGCTGGCTACATTGAGTACTTTCTGATAAGTGACATTACAAAAACTGTTTTGTTAGTATACTCTTCCTCTTTGAAATGTTAATATTGCTGGATTTTTGTGTAGTACTTCTTAATATTTTTTTCTTGCCTTTACATGGAATTCCTCTCCTGACTGAACGCACTGGCAACTTTGGACTCATGCGCTCATATGATTAACCTTTTCACACATTATAATTCTGTTTCAGGGTGCAGGTCAGTAGAAAACATGATGATAATGCTCACTGTCATGCAGGCTTTAGCACTGTAAGAGTTGATACTCTGTACTAAATTATTTTTTCTGAAGAAGAGTGTAGTGCCAGTACTGCTACTAGTGTGGGAGGTGATACCTTACTGAACACCTGCAGTGACACTGGCAGTCTGATACATCATTTTTCACTAGCACATAGGTGGTGGACCAAGAATTGTCATTTTACAGGTAATATTGACCAAGAACAGCTGCACACATTCATTGTGACACTAAAAAAGCAACAAAGTTGAAATTACATGCAGAGCATGCAGATATACCTCTGACTATTAATAGGTCTTTTCTACATAGAAGAGAATTAGAACAAAAGGAATATGCACCAAGAGGAGGAACATAAGGACTGTCTTTTCAGTGTCACATGACATCTCTCTGCATTCCACTGCAGCAGGCCTGGTGATACTCCAAATTGTCGCTGAATGTGTGAGTATGCACTTAAGGCCACAGTACCTACTGTGACTAAGCTGCAAGCTGCTTACTGGCACTTGAAAAATAATGAGTATTTCTAGAAGTGACTGTGTCAACACTTCTGCTGTTTCAGCACAAGAGGAGAGTGTATATGCTGTACACACTTCAGTTTCCTATGGCCTGCCTCGTCTTTCTGCTGCTGTGTCCTAACGTGCTAGCAACTTGCCATTTGACTTGAGGGATTAAGCCAACTTCAGTGGAGACGTGCATTCTCCTGTCAGCCTCTTTCCCTGAACTGGAGTAGAAGTAGTCACACAAGAAGTTACAGATGTGAATTTAAGCAGCAGTCCCTCCCATGCGTGACTGTTAGCTCTTTGCTTTGCTGTGGCATCCCACTCGCCATCTGAAAGGGCTTTGATCTCCTGACATAGGCACAAACTTGACACAACAGTAGGTGTGCTCTGTCTGAACTCGAGACAGACTGATCACAGAATCACCATGCGGATGTGTCTTATGTCATTAGCTTGGTCATCTTATGAATCTGTAAAATTTTACTTGTGTTTCGACTGAAGTCCTAAGTGACCACAAATTGCAAAAATGTCCTGCTTCCACAGATTGAAGGCTGCATATGGATAAAATTCCATATAAACTTTGATAGTTGCAGCATGCATGCAAAGTGAATAGTCATCAGGAGATTGGCAGGAGTATGCAACAGGAGCAAAGCTAAGGTAGATTTCAGGACTGCCTCCCTGACAGAACTTAATTATGCTCATTAAAACACCTGCCAGACCTAAACTGCTAGCATTTCAGGCACATAATAGAGAAGATATGAACTTCTTTTCCTAAAATATTTTCCTTCTGTCTCTTCTTGCTGGGCTTCCTTAATGAAAGCGTCATCCTGGACATTTGAGTGTTTCACCTAGGGCTCATCTATACTGAAAAATTTCTCTTGCAACTCCATAGAATGTTTTTGGAAGTACCTTGTTCCAGAGCTCAGAATAAAATTCACACTACTAACTACATACTACTAAGTAAAAGATTTGTATGTTCTTTGCACTTCTGGTAAACACAAGCTCTTCTGTCTGGACCTGTGTGATTTCTTGAAGAGAAACCATTTAAACTATTAACGTTTTTATTATCTGAAAAGCAGCTGCTGTGACATTAGGGCATGTTGTAATAGGACAAGGGAGAATGGTTTTAAACTAAAAGAGGGTAGATTCAGACTAGAAAAAAGAGAAGACATTTTTATGATGAGGATGGTAAAACACTGGAACAGGTTGTCCAGAGAGGTGGTGGAGTCTCCATCCCTGGAGACATTCAAGGTCGGATTTGATGGGGCTCTGAGCAACCTGATCTAGTTAAGGATGTCCCTGCTCACTGCACGGAGGTTGGACTAGATGACTTTTAAAGGTCCCTTCCAATCCAAATCATTCTGTGGTTCTACAATACATCTTCACTTGGATTCAATTATATTACTGAAAATTTCCTGATATATTAAAATTTAACAAGAACAATATAATATTTATAGCGTTAATAATATAAATCTGCAGCTATTGTTAGAATGCTAAAAATCACATGAGCGTATGAACCTTTCAGACTGAAATGTCCACTTCAGATACTTGCCATTAATCTGTGAATTTGTATACTGAACAGGTTTTTTTATTGTTCTGCCTTTCTGATTAATGTTACCTTTCTTTTCAAATGTTTTTTTTGCTTTTTCTCAGGAAACATATAAATTTACCAGGATTGGCATGGACAATATGGGTGTATTGACTTTTAGAAACCATGGATCACAGAAGGAAAAGGGATGGGGGGACTTGTCAGAAGCTGTTGAAGGCTAATGATGGATCTCTTCATGGCGGGGAAGGGCTAGTATTTATAGCCTTGCATTCAGAGGGGTGGAGATAAAGCAGGTTCTGTTACTTCAGTCTTTCTATCAGAAAGCTACAGTTCTAGCCTATACCTAAAAAGAAAACGGGTATAAAACTGGTAGGATGCTTTACAGACTGTCTTTTCTGGGCTAGATGTACCAAGAAGAAGTTGGGAAAATGGTTTTCAGGAACCTAAAGTACTAGTTATGTGCAAAGATATATCAGGATCAGACTTTAGGCTTCAGTAAAGTATTTGAGGTGAGGCTAAACTTTAATCATTTGCTAATGTGTTTGGTAGTATTTGAAATCGATTATATTGTGTTTGATTTTTATATATGTGGTATAAATTTCAAATTGTTACTGATACTGCTAAAATACAAATTACTCTGAAGGATATTGCAGTTTCATTGAACTTTCTGCTAAAAAGTTCAGTGAACTTGTGTTACTGATGAAGTTATGTATATATGATATGTGATATATATGTGATATATAATGAAGTTATTTGTGATATTTGGCCCTGCTAAGGAGGTACTTTAGGTGTATTGCTTAATATCAGCAAATATGAGATGTCGTTGTAAAGTACGTAGTATGAATGCATCTCATCACGTAAATCCATCTTGGGCTGTAATTCACTGAAATGATAGGTACCAAAAGGGAGATATGCACTGAATTGCAACATTTCTTTTTCACATTCTTAAATAATATCAATATTTTAATTTGAGCAGGACAAACAGAGTACTTTATGTTAAAGAATTAGAGGGTACTTTAAAGCAGTCTAATCCTGTTAGATCATTCCTCTGTTTGGACTATATTATTTCAGCTTTGTTGTACAGAAGAGAATTCAGCTTTAATGATGGCTTCTTCAATTTTAAATCTCAATTATATACATTAGCATGATACTTCATTTTATGCTGATTTAATAAGATGTAACACTGCTCATTACTAAATCACCTGTTCCTATCATAGACAGAACTTTGGTACCCTGGCTACCATTCGGTTCTGTCTCATTCACTTATCTTCCAGTCTATATTACATAGATCTGGAGAATTTTCTACAATTCTTATGCTAACATTTACTATTGCAATATAGAAGAGCTATCCGAAACATTCATGTAAAAAAAGCAATACAACTCTATCCAACTGTTTTGACTGCTGGTGTATCACAGCTTTCACCTGTGATATTTAGTGGCCTATGTTCTACAGCTCCTAGTCAAATTCACATCGGAGAGTAGGTAGAAAATTAAAGTGGATTAAGTATTGTCTATTCACCTTAGGTTTAATGTATATTGACTATACAGCACTTACAAGCTACAATGCCATTTTTTTCATAGTAAACTAATTACAGTTAAAAAGAGATTAAATAAGCTCACATTCATAGCCTTTGTACTAGTATACTTGTAGGGTGAGTTCACTTAGTCAAGTATTTTATGCCAGATTTATTCTAATGTACTGAGAAACTCAAATTTGTTGAAAAAGAAACTATTGTTCACTAACAGCCGCACGGTAAGCCAACCTAAATCACACTGTAATGAAATAACTTTATTGCCTGAGACTGCTGTTTCTCTGTCACAGGTGTCTTATCAAGGATTTTGAAAAGCGTCCTTCAGTCACCCATCTTTTGGAGCATCCATTTATTAAACAAGTACATGGTAAAGATATGTCTCTGCAAAAACAACTGGCTGAGCTGATCCAAGAACAGCAGCGGCTAGGTTCCATAGCCAAAACAAGGTACCGTACAACATCCGTGCTGTCATTCTCCTTCCCCACACTAATCCTAGAAGCACAAGTTGAAACTTCGAAGGCACAGACATTCACTGTTTCAAATGATCACATTAGTGCATGGACTGGCAGTATTAGTAGCATTAGGTGCTGCATGCCATGTGAATGCAAGAGACGTGTTTTCCCGTTTCAAGCTAATTTGATCAGCCGTAATGCAACCTTCTCCCTAGTCCTTTTTCTCCCACTGAACTCTATTCTACATATATTCACTTTTGGCTCAGCCAAAAGTGCTAATAATTCCAGAATGTTCTGGCTTGTGGAAATACATATTGGCATGATGAAAAATTATATCATAATTTAGTAGCAGATCCTTAATAATACAGTTGTGAATAGTGAAGTGACAAAATTAAGAGCAACACTTTAAAGCTTGCTGTTTGATCAGGTGCTATTAGTAAGAAGGTTATTCAGTACTTAAAGTAATTGTTTTGTCTGTAGTTAATAGTAACTGCTATTTTTATTCAGCCTAGTAATTAATTCTAAAATGTGCTTTTAAGCACAATGTTTATCAGCATCAGTGGGTTTTTTTACTTTTGAAGGCTAATTGTAAGTATGTCTCAGTTTAGTAGTTGTCCAGAGGGTGGCAGAATCTCACTGTTTCAAAAGAGAATTAAATGCAAATGAACGCACTTGCCCAAATGCAGCAATCATTCTCTAATATGAAATTGTCTAGAGTAAGACAAGCTCTGACCCATTACTATAAACAAACACCTACTAACGTTGATGAAGAAAATTAGACGTCATGATTCATAAGTCATAAACATGTATATACTTACATTCCATGAGACCCTGTAGTTTAAGTGCTAAAAGCCCCAGCAAAAATGTACAAGTTAAAATGAAGGAGTAGCTGTAAGTACAGTTTCAAGGTGAAGTTGACTTCTGTGGATTTGGTGGGATTTTTTTCCTTACCTGAAAAAATATACCAGGAACTGCTTATTGTGGGTGAGGGAGTTATGCCGGTGTTACAGTAGAAGTTTCTGCTTCATCTAGCTGCCTAAGCAGATCTCCTCCATGTAACACCTCACTGGCCCAAAAGGTATCAGAGTTTTCCCAGCTGTTGACCAAAGAGAAGATATAGACAGAGTGAAATGATCCTTGTGCCAAAAGGAGCTCTGAAGTGAATTTTTCATGGTATTCCAATACATTCTTCTGGGGTCTATCTCCATAATGCGGAGTGAGAACTCCAGACCAAGACAGCACTTCTTTCCTTAAGCCTTTCCAGATATTAACTGGGAATCCTGTGACAGACAAACTTCCGCACCTTATACTTAGGCATGACTGGAAGGTAAGTGGGATTTTGCCTCCCAGCACCCGCAGTATGAACAAGTGCTCCCTTAAAGGAGTTTAATTCCTTGTCCATCCTGTCACCACCGAACCCATCTTAAATATTATGTTTGCCGAGGATGATTATTTGCAACTTGTGTGCAGTCGCACCTGCAGAATGCAGAGGGTTTAGTCGTAATCTTATCCTTGCTATTAGTCTAGGTTCTATTATTGTCCCTGATGTTCCCAAATTTACTTGGGCAACGAGTCCTAAGTTCTCTGTCCCAGGTTGTTATCTGACCAATTAAAAGCCCCTAAAAACTCTCTTAATGTGTTTATAAAATATTTTTCAATAAAGAATCTGGCATGCAGAAGAACACATAACCAGATGGTACTGAAAAGAAATTTACTGACATTCATTTGTGATGATCTGTAGAAGTGATTTGAATGTATAGTCACCACTTTAAAGGAAATAGGCCAATTAAAACCCATGTTGAGTAAAACATCACTAGATATATGTGCATACTTTTTTCTGTTTGGTGATGTGCCCATGACAGGTACAGTGAAATGTGCATTAGTTCCCTGGTGTTCAGAGGTAAAGAAAAGTAGATGCCCTTCTTTAGTAGTACAGCAACATTACAGGTCAATCATTTAAAAATGAGTGAAAGAAAATTTTCTCAGAGTACAGGTTGAAAATTTCCAGAAATTGGAAAAATCATCAGGATGCTGGTGTTAGTAGCACTTTGACTGCAAGGGAGCCCGTGATGTCACTGATCAGGAGGTATTAGGGTTCTGTCTCATTTGAAAGTCTTCCAGCATCACTGCTTTGCATTTGCGTCTCTTGTTTCTTTACTAACTCAGCACCTGTGGGTTCTTGTAATAGAATTCTCTTTCCAGTTGAGCCATGCCCGTTTTGCCTGTTTCGGGGCCATCTCTTAGGGTCATTGTGCCCGACAGCAAGCTTGCAAACTAGAAAGTCAGTACAACTGATTTTGAGGGTACGATGATGTGGAGACCTTCTCCAGCAGTTCACTGCTACTGAAAAGAACTGACTTCTTTCTCTGATTTTCCCACAGCTCCCAGGAACAAACTTGTAATGCTGTTTTTGTTGCATCTCTAGTGATTGTCAGAACCTTCTGAACTTGAACTTCTAAAGTAAGAGAAAAAAAAATAAGCCAGCAGAAGCAGACAGACAATTTTCTATTCTGTTAGTGATTGCAGAGGGATAGCTCAAGTGTTGTAGCCGAAGTAAAGGAGGGAATACTTCACCAGGAATAAGGGGGAGTGAGTTAGAAAGAAGCAAGCTCCCTTCTTTGGGCAGGATCGTCTGGGTCAACTTCTGAGGTGACAGACCGAAACATCTCCTTAATTCAATGTCTTCCATTGTTTCATTTATAAATGTCTTTGCGTGTGGTATAGCTAGACTTACCTTCAGCACAGTTCTTCATACAGCTGAACTGAATGCGCACTTCATTGTCATTGCTGAGCTCAAAGTAGCCTGCTAACGCATGGATTTATTGCCATCATCTGTTTATTGCTGACAAACCGATTGTCACTTTGCCATGAGAAGAGCTTTATACTCTATTATTTCCTTTAGGTTAGCAATTAGTAATAAAAAGAAAATGACATTAACAGCTACCCCTGCTTTTTTTACTAAAAAAGGTGCTCTTTGAAACTTTACTACTGCCTTTATTTTTGTCTGAATTATTTTTGTCTGAATTATTTTTGTCAGAAATGCAGGTGTCTCCTATCCTTATGCAGATAAGTGTTTTCAGTTTCAGAGAACCCAACCAGGATATGCCTCTTTCCACACTTGTAATGAGGAAGAAAGTGCTTTTTTCATCCGTTGCCATCTTTTAGGCTGAAATCCTTGAGTTTTGCCGTGGTCTTGAGTGAAGCTGAAATTTCAGCATCAGCACGCCACTCCTGCATTACCTGATTCTTATACTCTCCTGGGGAAAAATGCTGTAAGAAAGTCCATTGTCATGGCTGCATAAGGATGAGCTCTGGATATTATCTTTTTCTCTTTTCCACATCCCTTTTTTAAGCTACTAGTTAACTACGTGTGTGTTTTGTATGGCTTCTAATGATACTAGGGCACAAATTGTACTTTTCAGCAACAGCAGGTCAAGGGATAGGGCTGAGGCAGCCACCAAATGCTGACAGATACTCTCTAACCCCTTTTCTTTCCCAGTTGCCATAAAAGCAGTTATATGAAATTTAATTTTAAGAAGTGTATTCAGTGTTAAATAGTCCACTAGTTCTATAAAAGTTCTTTAATCCTTAGAAAATAGAGGTTAGTACATCAGAATGTTGCTTCACATTAATATTCCAGCAATGCTGGATTTTTCTTTCCCATCTGTTCTAAAGTCAAATAGATCATTCCTTTTTAACGCGTGAGTACTGATTTGTAGTTCATCTTGGGAGCCAGAGCACTCTTATTCCCATCAATATATAGCTGCCTCATGGCAGGAAGCATTTCTTAAAATCAGAAAGGATGCTGCCACAAGGTCTTACTCAGGGTTTTATTTTTGGTTGGTTGGTTGTTTTTGTTTTCTTTTTTTTATGGGTTTGGTTTTTTTTTTTTACTTTACCAATCCTGTACTCACAGAAGTACTATGAAGTGCTTTTGGGTTCTTTGGATAGTGTTCTCGTGCATAATAACATTGTAAGAACAAGAAATGTAATTAATTTCTGGACTTGTACCTTCATGGAGAAAAGTAGGAGTACAAGTTAGAGTAAGATGTGGACAACAGAACACAAACATTTGTCACAAATGTTTTTTTATAAAAAAGCTTTTGGTACAGTAATAACTGAATGTTGATAAAGACTTTGTGACTAATTCTGTATTCTGTACCTAAAGCAGAGTACACAAGTCAATAGTAATCTTGCTGTATTTCAGAGATAAGTTCTTCAGGATAGAGATCCATGCAATTTCATGTCGGTAAAATACCAAGAATGTTTGGGCACCTTGTGAATTATAATACGAAAACATGGCAGAGGTTTGTGCCTTATTTCTCATTCTCTCTCTGAGTCACTGTGTAGCCTCATATCACTTACCCTCAATATTTCTCTGTTCATCCACTTACAATTGGATATTAATAGCTTTATTTAAAATATTATACGTACAAAAAGTAGATAGCATTTTGTCTGAGGCAAGAACTTTGTTTTTTACTTCTTCTATAAAGCTCTACTGTAAACCTGGTAACTGTAAACTGTTAATGAAGTGAAACGTGTAATGCCCAAAGCATTAGCCACTTTTTTCCTTCCCTCTTTCTGCCCTCAAGTCTGGGAAGACTCTGGGCAAAGACACGTTACAGATTATGGGTATCGTTAATTCTCACTTGACGGTGAACTTTTGCTCTGTTTGTGTAGATTATATTTTTGTTAAACAGTGTTTGAGGGTGTTTAGTAATCCATTAAGGGAAATTGTAAGAGAGACCTGCTCACTTTACAAATATGCTTTTTGATCTCTTGAACTTGTTTGTGTGGTCAGTTGCTTTTTTGATTCATAGCACAAGAGATTCCAACGTGCAGGCTGATTGCCAGCCTACTGAAGGAAGAAGTCAGAAGGGATTTAATCTGTTTCCTGATATTCTGAGTTGTTAAATGACTCTGTCTACGTTAGCAAAATGTACTGCAAAAAGTGGATGTGTTCTCTGGAGTTGGTTTGTAAACGTTAAATATTA